CCATCCATCCATCCATCCATCCATCCATCCATCCATCCATCCATCCATCCATCCATCCACCCATCAAATTGTGACACATCCCCTCCTTGTCCTTCCGCCCATCCCAAGACATCCTTGGGGGAAACGAGATGCAAAGCTTGCCTTTTACTGATTTGGAAAGGAGAAGACGGTTCTCTTTGTCCGAGGCTCACCTGTGCCTAGGAACAGGACGTCGTACTGCCCGTCTTCGGCCGTGACCCGATCCACCACCACCTGAGTCAGTCGGTGATCCACGTTGACCTGAGTGAAGACCGGGGCCCCTCCCACCGGGTCAACCGCTCTGTGCATCAGGGGGTGGCGCTTGATGGAGCTGATGACGTCATCGGGGAAATCCCGGGTGGTCTTGACCGAGGGGTCGTAGGTTCGGCTCGGACACTGGGGGAGACGGGAGAGAAGAGGCAGCGCATTTAGTGTGTGTGTGTGTGGGGGGGGGGGTGAGTTTGGCCCCAGTTGGCCACAAGGAGTGAAGAGAAGCGGTCACCAATGCTAGTTGCGCTAGGATGACAAGTAGTCCTCGAACTTACAACAGTTCATTTGGCGACTGTTCAACATCACTAAAAGAAGGTGACTTGTGACCCTTTCCCACACTTATTGCAGCTTCCCCAGGATGACAGGATCAAAATTCGGATGCTTGTCCACTGACTCGTATTCATGACGATTGTCCTGTGATTTTTGCCACCTTCTGTCAAGCCAGATTCACTTAACCACCATGTTACTGGCTTTACAACCACAGTGATTCACTTAACAACTGTGGCAAGAAAGGTTGTAAAATGGGAAATAATCACTTAACAAGTGTTTCATGTAACAACAGGAGTTTGGGGCTCAGTTGTGGCCGTAGGTGGAGGATTACTTGTATTATGACCGCCCTGCCCTTGTGGGGCACACCCACCCCCCACGTTCTCAGGAGCCTCTCTTCTTTCAGAAGCCCCACTTCCAGGGGAGGAGGGGGAAGAGGGAGGAGGAAAGCAGGGGAAGGAGGAGGAGGAGACCAAGAGAGTAAAAACAGCTACCAGGGGTTGGACCATCGAGAGGATTTGCATGTCGGGGTTCCAAATAGCCTCCAAAAGCAAATCAGCGTCCAAGACCAAGGATTGCTCAAAGTTCCCATTGATGGAAGAGAGCCATGTTGGCACATCTGGGGAAACCCGAATCTGGAAGCTTCCCGGTTTCCCCCCACCCAGTTGAAAGTCCAAGATCCTGCCCCCCACACCCACAAGTCCATCCCATGGTCCAATCTCCCACTGCCATGCTGGCAGCTTCCACCCATTCCAATTCCAATCAGGTGCAGAGGTGCAGAGACAAAGGATGACCTTGACTTTCTAGAAAGAATGTTGTTATGGCTACATTGCATCTAACTCCATACAATTCTCCCCTCCCATTTTCCCACCATAGAAAATGCATAGTAGAATAATAGAAAGGGTGGCAGGCCTGAGATCCAGAAGAAAAGATGGCTGCAGGCCTGGCACTGCAGCCTCTGCCAAGTTCAAACACATTCATTACTAATTGTATTCCGTCCTGCTCTCCAGTAAATTCCCTTTCATTTGCCTTGTTTCTGAACACCTCCAGCCTATTCATACAACCTGCATCTTGTGTGCCCATCCCCCAAAGGGTTGGAGAACACATGCAGAAAACAGAAAATCTTCTGCGGTTTAACTGCCGTCATTTGGGAATCCGTCTTGGTGGTGAGAAATATTTCTTCATCTAAATCTGAACAGTTAAATGGCCTTTGCTGCTGCTATGAGGCAAAACATTAAAATCGCCTCTCATATCTGAAAATGCCGGGCTCTTGAGGGTTGGGGAAAGATATTCCTCCGCTTCGTCTTTTGAAGAGACGCTGTATTTTACTTTCTGATACTGTCAGGGGACGAAAGGAAGGCTAGGAACCAGCCGGGAAGGATTTGGAGGCTGTCGGGAGCAATAATAATATTAATATGGAAGTCCCTGTTCCTGTAGTCGCCACCAGAGGGATAAACAACGACGCTGACTCATCCGGACTCAGTTTTCACCACGGCACTGCCCAGGTCAGGCACGCTCAAAGGGGGACCCTGGCACTGCCAACAGCAAACGTTTAATTCCATGTAGTAGTTGAAATCTAAGCCGATGGCCCGATGTCTTCATTAGCTATCTTTCAACAGTTAATCAATATCGCCCTCTTCTGGCTGCTGTTGGAAAAGCACTTGGATCCTGACGAACTGTATTCAAAAAGATTGATACGCCTAATAATAATATTCACGCCTCAAAGCCTTACAGGTGCTTTTCTTACAGTAGTCTCCACTGTGGCTACTGCCTTGGAAAACAATACAGTATCACTACGTCTATAGACAGGCTGTCTTGAATCCTGATATTTGTGTTTCTGACATAACATTGGTCTGTAACAGAGGCCCTGCAGAGATGGTATCATCAAACCTATAATAATATAATAATAACTAAATAAATTATCCACGCGCCAGAAATAAGCAATGGCACTCTTTCAAAATATTAAGGGAAGATTGGTCTCCCTGGTCCTTATTCCTATTCTGGATCAAGGTTACCACCCAACCGGTGCTGTTGGTGGTGAAGGGAAGGCAGTTCAAGACAATTAAAAGGCAACTTATGACGCAGCAGCATTAATAGCAATGCCGACAGTACTTACTATGTACTACTGGACAGCTATTTTACAGCCCTCTCTAAGCAGTTTGCAGAGTCAGGATATCCCCCACCCCCCACCCACACACACCTCCGAACAATCTGGGCCCTCATTTAACCCACCTTGGAAGGGTGGAAGGTTGAGTTGACCTTGAGCCGGTCAGGATTGAACTGCTGGCAGGGGGCAGAGTCAGCCTGCAATACACATTCTGACCAATGGGCCACCATGGCTCTTAATTAATCTAGTTGCTTTGTTGTGCAGTTTGGTGTGTGTGTGTGTGTGTGTGTGTGTGCGCATGCCAGGTAGGAGGGGTGAAAGTTTTCAGTTAACGTTGCTCTGGTTTCCAGAATCCTTCCACAACACTTCAACCAGAAATTCAACACCAGTAAGATGAGGAGGACCAGAGCTTTAAAGCAGTGATCCTCCATCTCGGCAGGTTGGAGACGGGCGGACTTCAACTCCCAGAATCCCCCCGCCAAGTCCACCCATCTTTCAAGCAGATGGAGCCTCGGATGGCTGGCCTGCTTATCTGTGGCCCCAACGGAT